TAGCACCCAGTCTGGCCTGCCCCTCTCATACAACCACTGGTTTGCTCACTTCAGGGAAGTTACCACTGGAAGTTACCCATTCTTCTCCTCTTGCCTGGCTTCCTTTTTTTGTTGTTAATCCTCACTAGAGAGTATTTTTCCATTGATTTTTAGGGAGAGTGGAAGAGAGGGAAAGGGAGAGAAATATTGATGTGAGAGAAACACATCGACTGGTTGCCTCTTGCACATGCCCTGACCAGGGCCCAGGCTGGGGAGGAGCCTGCAACTGATTCGAACCCAGGACTCTTTGGTCCACAGGCCAATGCTCTATCCACTGAGCCAAACCGGCTAGGGTTGGCTTCCTTTTTAATGCCAGTCTCTGGGAAGCCACAGACAAAACAGTCTGGAGAGACCATATGAAGAAGCGCTACTGGGTTCTACATGTGGTAGCAGTGTTCTATGAGCCTTTCAAATTTTGTGTTTTATTACTCTGCTATAAAAAATAGTGGTAAATAAGACATGAGTGCTGTACTTGAACAGACGGTGTGGTCAAATCTCAATTTCTCCACTTATTTCATAGGGTTGCTATGAGGATAAAAATAAGATAATATGTAGAAAGCACCTAGTACAGTGCCTGGTACCAATGAAAAGGTTTAATGTTATTATCAGTAGTAATGTATTTTGGAAAAAGTAATACAAACATCTACTCCCATATGCTCCAGGGCATTGCTAAAAGGTCTGTCTAGCTTTATCTTTTAACTTTTTGGGAATACATACATCTACCCCTGCACTCCTAAGACCCCAGCACCTAGAGAAAAGAGGCTAAAACCTTCTCTCCTTTTGTAAGACTCAGAGAAAGTCCTTACCAGGATGCATCTAATGTGAGTAATTCAATTCCTTGCTGTAGCATCGGCTTAAAACGGAGGGTCAGTGGAAATGGGACCTTAGCTGCAAAAAAAGAAAAGTTCATAATCAGTCCCAGCTTCTTTATTTTTAGAAGAGTAAAACTGTGAATGCATCTATTCTTTCCCTGAAGAGGTGGGAACTCCGGACCATACAGAGTTTGGCAAAAGATTTCCACAAGGAAATTTGTCACTTTCTGGAGAAATACATCCAATGTCACTCTTCCTTGAATACTAGCTTCTCTATTGCTTAAGAAGCAGGGACTCAAATTGAGCTGTGACCTAAAAATCTCAAAAGAAACATGCACTAATCTGTTAAACATAAAGTGGAGTATATACACAGAGAACTACATTAACAAGAAACCGAATTAATTCAAATCAAATAAAAACTTATAAACAAATAGACAAACGACTCACCCCAACATCTAGAAAATGAAGTAAAAATATAAATGGGCTTCCCTTTATCCTACTCAACTAGAACACTAAATTAGTTTCAGATACAAACTAGCAAGCCACTCGTTTGAATCCCTATTAGTAAAAAAGCATTGACATTATGAACTTACAATCAGTTTGTAATAAGAGCCATAAAATCACAGCATATTAATACTTTTGCTGTTCTAAGGATGTTGTTATCAGTTTCCACTACAGAACATAGGACTCGTGATGGTAGCACTTTGATTTCTTGGAACAGGGAGAAGGGAAAGGAGCACAGGTGAAATACAACCTGAGTCTTCTCAGTGGTGGCTTACTTGTGACAAAGCCTGAGAATGTCATGTTGATCCATCCGCCAATAAGAATCATAGGGAGAACGTTTGTTACATTGCCTTTCATCATATCTGTTAGCATAGTGGGGTCTAAGACAAAACACAGAGACCACGACATTTTACCACTGCTGGCAGGGGCTTCCTCCTGATTCTGTCAATTTTAAATTTATTTGATAAAGTAATACAAGTTCATTGTAAAAAGTTCAAATGACATACAAACAGGATGTAGACGGTTCCCCTGAGCCCACTCTCTAACATTTTTAACTGTTTCATATCCTTCCATCATTTTATTTACACACACACAGAGTGGCTTCTCTCCGTATATACACAACAGAGGGATACTATGCTTACTCTTCTTTTTTTTTGGTTTTTTTTTTTTTTTTGGTTTTGTTTTTTAGGTTCACCTGAGGATATGTTTATTGATTTTAGAGAGAGAGGGAGAGAGAGAAACATCGATGTGAGAAACACTGATCGGTTCCCTTCTATACCCACCCCAACCAGGGATCAAACCTGCAACCTAGGTTATGTGCTCTGACTGGGAATCAAACCCACAACATTTTGATGTACAGAATGACGCTCCAACCAACTGAGCCACCAGGCCAGGGCACTATTCTGCTTCTTAATTTTAAAAAATTAATATGTTGTGAATGCTATTTCCACATTGGTATGATAACTCTCTCATTATTTTTAATGTCTGCATAGGAATCCGCAATGTGGTCACAGGCATCACTACTGGGTGAACCTATATATCAGTGACGGCAAACCTTTTGAGCTCGGCGTGTCAGCATTTTGAAAAACCCTAACTTAACTCTGGTGCCGTGTCACATATAGAAATTTTTTGATATTTGCAACCATAGTAAAACAAAGATTTATATTTTTGATATTTATTTTATATATTTAAATGCCATTTAACAAAGAAAAATCAACCAAAAAAATGAGTTCACATGTCACCTCTGACACGTGTGTCATAGGTTCGCCATCACTGCTATAGATTGTTTCCACAATTTTTTTTTTGCCAATAAACAATGCCATCAACAACTACCTTGTACATAAGTCTGCATATTTTTGTTGATACTGTCAGATTGTCCTTCAGAAATAGTGAGAGAGCCTCACTTCCCATGACCTTGACAGTAGCAACTTTGGTCAAGCTTTCAATCTTTGCCAATTTAATGGGCTATAAAGGACATCTTATTTTAATTTGCATTCCATAGATTCCATAGGTCAAGCATCTTTTTGTAAATTTATTGGTTTCTTTTGTTTATTGTAGGTTTTCTGAAAGATTTATATTAACTTCTGTTTGGGTTTAAAATAGCTGGTAATTTCACCTAAAGAAATGGATACTAAAATGAGAGGACAGTCAATATGGGATAATAAATTTTGTTTCACTTTAAAGATGCTGTGTTTTTCACATGACAGGGATCAGTGAAAGTAAGAAATCTATTAGAGTAAAAATTGTAGGATGGCCAATAGCTGGTCTGGGGAAGTAGAGAGAGCAGTGCTGGGTGGCCATCTGTCAGCAACAGGAGCCAGGCACTGGGTGGGAGCCCCAGCTTTTCCAACTGTGCTCAGTGGAGCCCTGGGTCCTGAGTAACAGCAAAGGGAAGAGACCCAGAGACGATGGCTCTAGTCCTTTCAATCCCTTAGCTGAGAGCTCTTTCTTTCTTTATTTTTATTTTATTTTTTAAAAATTTATTTGAGAGAGAGAGAGAGAGAGAGGAAGGGAAAAAGAGAGAAAAACATCGATTTTTTTTTGGTTCCACTTATGCATTCATTGGTTGACTCTTGTATGTGCCCTGACAAGGATTGAACCCACCAACTTAAGTGTTATCAGGACGATACTCTAACCAACTGAGCTACCCAGCCAGGGCGTGAGAGCTCTCTCTCTCTCTCTCTCTTTTTTTTTGGTTAATCCTCACCCGAGGGCATTTTTTTCCATTGCTTTTCAGAGAGAGTGGAAGAAAGGGAGGGAGAGAGAAAGAGAAAAACATTGATGTGAGAGAGACACATTGACTGGTTGCCTCCCCCACACACCCCAACCAGGGATGGGGAGCAAACTGCAACCCAGGTATGTACCCTTGACTGGGAATCGAGTCTGAGACCCCTTGGTGCACGGGCGGATGCTCTAACCACTGAAAAACACCAGCCAGGGCCTGAGAGCTCTTTTTTAGATCTACTTTATATTTTGGAGTTCCCAAAACATTTATTTGGAAAAGAGAACACTACTTCTCTTTTCCACACTACTTCAGATTGCTATACTAGATGATATCTACGGTCCCTTAAATTACTATCTTCAACAATTTAACACTGAAATCAAATGACACATTCTAACTCCCTCCTCCCCCCACTCATGTTAAAAATCTTCCTTAAAGATGAGAGAAAAGAATAAACATACCAGTCATAGGAGAAGGAGGTACTACCTTCCTTTTAGTTTTTTTGAAAAATCCATCCTCTGGGTTGTTGAAATAATATTTTCGTGTCAGGAAAGACTAGTAGGAAAAAAAAGAGCTTTTTAAATCTTAAAACTGTGACATAGCAAACTGTAAAATTATTCCCCAGAGGTTTGGTCAGAAGGCCCTTGGAATATGCCGTTAACACTAAGAGCTGACAGCCCACTTGGCAGCTGAGCTGACATTTTAGCTGAGTCACATTTAAAAACAATTTTCTAAGAAGGATGAGGTCACAATGACAGCAAACACCATCAGGCCACAGCTTAATTCCTGACTTGCCAGCCTTCAGTTTTCCCCAAAGAGTCCCCTTATAAAACATTCTGATATCTACTGCCTTCAACAGTGAATCTTGGTACTTTAAATAAAAGATAAATGAGTACCTGTTTGGGAATGTATTTTCCATTTTCCCTGAGGACTCTGCTTCGAATTAGGACTTGACTGAAAAATACAACCAAGACAATGAGATTTTTATAAAAGCGAAACACTAGAAGAAAACAAGAGAATAAAGTAGAAGACCTATTTAAACACAAGAGAGGGCCTATTTGGCCACAGTCCGGTATGGAAACTTTTCAAACTACAGGTATCCTTAAAACCAATCTAACAACCCCCAAATCAGGTTTTCAAAAGAGCATTTTTCAGAAGTGACTGTGTTTCTGAACAAAGATGTCTGAAGAAGGCACATTTGGAACACTCACCTTTCTCTTAATTTATGAGCTAAGAAGGCACTTTCTCTGAGTGAAAAGAGTAGCAGCTGGATGCTTCTCAGATGATTTGGAGGCAGGAGGAGGGAGGAAGGGTGAGGACTGAGGGAATTTTTTAAGTCCCCAAGAGAAATGAGTACAGGACTTGACAGGGTTGCTATCTGACAGACAACAGATAGAAATCCCACCCAGTACTCAGACGGTTAGTAAGCTCTCAATAAACATTTATTAAATAAAGTAACAAGTGAAATTATTTGGTGATATTTTAACATAACTGATCATTAAAGATAACAGTGCAATACAAGTGGGTGGTGCTAAGCTACAAATAGTAAACAGAATAGTGATCAAAATACTAATTTTTTCTTGGTTTTCAAAAGCTTTTAAAAAATTTACTGATTTTAGAGAGAAGGGAGAGATAGGGAAACATTGATTTGTTGTTTCACTTATTGGTTAATTCTTGTACGTGCCCTGAGGATCAAACCAGGAACCTTGGCGTATTGGGACAACACTCTAACCATCTGAGCTACCGGGCAAGGGCATTCAAAAGTTGTCTTAATTGGGGGGTTAGAGGGGGAGCCTACTTAGCTTAATGGAAATCTTTCTTGAAAAGTGGGGAAAAAGATTGTAACAGAAATGAACACAAGAAAACTGTGCTTGGTTTTCTCTCTACTCCTCAGTATAAGCCACCTGCTCTAACCAGTAGGTCAATACCCTTAGGATCTCTTTGTCATGTTCTAGCTTTCTCCATACGCTGGGAATTCTCTAGTGCCCCTCTCCTTCACCTTCTTCAAGCTCCGCCTTTTCTATGAAACTCTTCCCAATGCCTGGTGCCCTCATGCAATTCTCTCTGGTGTTCCTCCTCCTGACCTCGTTGTACTATACGGTTGACTGCTCCATACACAGGCTTACAGAGGTGACATGTAATATGTTCTGTTCCCTGGGAGCTAGTCTAAAGCTACTCAAAGTGTGGCCTATGTACCAATGCTGATCTGTGATAAGGGTTTAGAAAAGTTTATAATTTGACATTGTTATAAGATCCAAATACGTGATCAAAATATTTTATAAAAGCATCAGTCTGTGATAGATTGGAAATTAAAAAATTAAATCAAGGCAAGCTCTAATTAGCCTGTATATTATAAGCACTCACTTTCTTAAACTGAGATCCACAGATGTATTCTCTGAGATTTGCAAACCCTACAAGAAATTTTTAATTTTGCATTTTCATTTCCACTAATATCTAAAAATAAGTCCTAGTACTGACTATAAAGATAAAGCTTTTCTTCACAGGGGTAATTTGCAACTGAAAGACATTTTCTTAAAAGTTAGGTTTTTAAAGTTATTATTTCTCAAAGTGGAGTTCCATATCCTTAAAGATCAGGGTGTTTTTGTTGTTTTTTTTTCCCTTTTAAAGAGTCAGTATATTCTTCAAGCTTGAGAACTACTTTTTACATACATTCTATCCTTAAATATGGTCGAATAAATTTTATTTATGCATTTTTCAGGTTTGGTTTAATACATTTTAGAAAAATTTTAATAAGTTTCGAGGCAGTAAAAGCTTAATAATTTATGAAACCCAACATTCCATTTTGTGATCATTCAGGTTATTGGAAACTTATACTGTATTTAGAGGAATGTTTTACAATTAAAAGACATCTTTTGCTTTGGACTTCGGCCAGTTCAGAATCATGTGGTCAGCATTCTACTCAGGTTCAAATGATGACCTGGTTGGGTATAGTTATACCATGTCAGAGATGGCATGACTTCACTTAAGGGATGGAGCAATTATGACCAGAAATGTTGAGTTGTCTTTAAAGCAGTGGTTCTTCATGTAAGTGGCACTGCCCTCTAGAGGGCCTAATGGAAACCTGTGGAATTTAGAGTGTCAAAGTTAGGGGATGGAGAGAAAGCACACAACTAAGTATCCCTCAGTGCTGGGGACAGATGTGCAATACAAAGAACTGTCCCATGTCTCACACTACTTATGATATTTCATCACACTGGTTCTAATTATCTGAGCCTCAAACCTAATCCCATTTTTTGCAATGGTTGAGAGGGATGATATTTATAGATACTGAATTTCCAGATACACAACTAGCCTATAAATATAGGAAAAACTGCACTTTGTTGTGTTCAGGACTTTATCAAGGGTAGTTCACCACTTAGGAAAATCACATCCAAACACTGCCTTCTCTTACATCTAAGTAGCTAACACAATGTATCAGCCTACAATGGAATCTGCCCCAATTTATAGGGATTTTATAGCTAGGTGATTGCATCTGGCTTCTCCAGTACATCTTCTCTAGGACTGTTATGCACAAGTACTTACAAAACAGAATTTAAGTTATCTACTTTTTTTTTTTTAAATATATTTTATTGATTTTTCACAGAGAGGAAGGGAAAGAGATAGAGAGAGTTAGAAACATCGATGAGAGAGAAACATCGATCAGCTGCCTCCTGCACATCCCCCACTGGGGATGTGCCCGCAACCCAGGCACATGCCCTTGACCAGAATCGAACCCAGGACCTCCCAGTCTGCAGGCTGACGCTCTATCCACTGAGCCAAACCGGCTTCGGCAAGTTATCTACCTTTTATTTCTCACGATTGTTGCCTTTATGTAAAGCAAGCATGTCAAACTTGTGGCCAGAGGGCTGCATGCCTCCTTTATTTAAATGAGGCATGTGGTCTGCTGGCCGTGAGCGAGTTTGACATGCTTGCTGTAAAGCGTTATGTGCCTCTTTTTTTTTTTCTTTTTTTTTTAATATTCTTGTATAGAGTGCATCAACAGTGAATTTCACTTTGGGTTATAAAAGGGAGTTTTGGGTCTGATATCATTCAGCATCATCACTCTGAAATCACATATTGAACCCAGTGCAAAAACTGTGGCAGAGAATCTATGACAGCAGGAATTGTAGTCAAGAGAATTTAATTTGGGAGTGAGACTGTCCTGGGTTCAAGTACAGGCGCAATATTTTACTATTTGGTTATTTAGGGAAGGCTACTTAACTTTCCCAGGCTCCCTTTTTTTCAAAAGTAAAAATGATTCAGGATTATCTATCTCAGTGTTAATTTGAAGGTAAAATGAGAACAATTTATTGGTATCAATACATAAATAAATGCTGACTGAGCTCTCTCCACTTTACATCTTTTTGTTTGTGTGTTTTTTAATCCTCCCCTGAGGATATTTTTTCCATTGATTTTTAGAGAGTGTGGAAGGAAGGAGGAGGGGGAAGGGAGAGAAAATGGAAGGGAGGGAAGGACAGGAAGAGAGGGAGGGGGAGGCAGGGAGGAAGAGAGGAAAAGGGAGGTAGAGGGAGAGAGAGAGAGAAACAACCATGTGAGAGAGAGACATTGATTGATTGCCTGCAACTGAGGTACCCCGGCCAGGGCTACTTAACATCTTTCTATAGCCTCCCTTCCTGTGGTGAACTGACTTCTTAACGTTATCTACAGGAGGTTGGTTCGGTCAGTTCTGAAACTGATGCCAAAGAAAAGTCTGTGGTATCGTGGGAAGCTCCAGACTTGGGAACCAGAAGACTTGGTGTTAAGTCCTGGATGTCACTGTCTGTGACCATGGAACCTCTTAACCCTTAGTTTCTATAAAATGGCTCAGTGGTTGAGCATCGACCTATGAACCAGGAGGTTATGGTTCGATTCCCGGTCAGGGCACATGCCCGGGTTATGGGTTTGATCCCCAGTGTGGGGCGTGCAGGAAGCATGCAGATCGATGATTCTCTCTCTCCCTCTTCCTTTCCCTCTGAAATCAACACAAATATATCTTTAAAACAAAAATTTAAAAAAAGGGACAGCATCTACCAGAGTTGTTTTGAATTTTAAATAAGTTAATGAATATAAGTGCTTAGCATAGACTAAGTGCTTAATAAATGTTGGTTTATTATTATTATTATTATTATTCTCAGCATAACTGGAAAGCACAGCTGAAAACGATAGCAGTCCTTTCCAAACTTCAGCATTCTCATTTCATGGTTATTATTTTTATCTTATTTACCTAGCACTTGTACTATTAAAAACTTAATATTTTTTACGCATCAACTTTTCTACTTATATAAGTTTTAAAAGAAATCTTTAAATTACCAGCAAATGCAAAACCAGTATTACCTCCACAAATAGGAAGTAACTGTTAAAAATAAATACAATAAAAACAAAACACAATTATTAAATTTTAGCTGCATACTGTTGCCTGTTGAAAGTCCTGAGCCTGAAGCTTGCTTGCTCTTTGTTAAGAAGGGAGATTAAGCCCTAGCCGGTTTGGCTCAGTGGATAGAGCCTCAGCCTGCGGACTGAAGGGTCCCAGGTTCCATTCCGGAAAAGGGCACATGCCTGGGTTTCGGGCTCCATCCCCAGAGTGGGGCGTGCAGGAGGCAGCCGATCGATGATTCTCTCTCATCATTGATGTTTCTCTCTCTCTATCCCTCTCCCTTCCTCTCTGAAATCAATAAAAATATATCTTTAAAAAATGGTTAAAAAAAAAAGGAAGATTAATAAGTGCAAGTGTTAAAGACATACTAACATTTACCTAAGGTAAACTCTGAAAATAGTTGTAACGACTGACTGAAAATGTTTACTTTAATATGGAGGGGCACACGTTTAGATACCACATCATCTCAAATGACCTCTCTCGACAAATACTGTAATGAAGCACAGGAGGAAGAATCTGCCCTCACTCCAGCAGGGGAAATGATAATCACCATCCCTCACATCTCTGTAGTTTTGTTTGCCAAGCTCTTGGGTAGTTGGTACCTCAGCTAACCACCACTGTAGTTTGGTAAGACGAGTATAATCACACTACCTTACCTATAGTTCATAGATAAGGCTGGCGACTAGCCTAACAAAATTAATAGCAACATCACTTTGGAACACTTGATTCGTCCCAGCTAAGGGCTTTATAGACATGATCTAAAATTTAATCCTCGCCCCTGCCCGAGGAGGCATATCCTGTTAGCATCCACACAGAAGGTAACTCAGCCCAGGGGGTCACCCCGCCAGCGGGAGCGCGATGTGGAAATCGGGGTAAACGGACAGAACCCCCGCACTTTCTTGCTCAAGGTCACGGGGGAGTGAGGTCGCCGGGTCCGGAGGGCGCTGACCTGTCGGAGACTTGTTCCTGGGTGAGCTTTTTGTCGCTCTGCAGCAGGATGGACACGTAGTGGCGGATCATGCCCACGAAGAAGGTGATGATCACGATGGGCAGGACCACCCAGAGGCGGATGTTGGAGTCGAGCAGCAGCTCCGGCCCCGCCATCTTCACACAGCGCCAGCTCCCGACCCGGTGTCGCTGGGTTTCTCCTCCCACCACTGGCGCCGGGCTCCCACTCGAGCTCGCCTCCGAGCCTTCTCACGCCCTCAGCCTGGCGGGCGCTGGATCCCACTGCAGGTTCGGCCCCGGCGTACTGACCCTCGCCGGGCCGCGCGGCCGCCCACTTCCGGCGCGGAAACCTGAAGTCACGGCGCGGCGCGGCGCACCTCGGTGACGTCAAGGGCGCGTCGCTCCGCGCGGGAAAGTCTTAAACGAGAGGCGGCGCCGGCCAGCCGGCGGGTGTTTGGAGCTGCGCTCGTCGTTTCTCGAGGCTTCGCTCGCCTGCGGCCTGGCCTGTAGGCCTCGGCCAAGGTCGGCCTTTCCCTCCGGGGTTCCGCGCCCTATCTCGGCTTCCTCACCTGCCCTGTCGTGGGATAGACCCTCAGGTACCTCCCTGCGTCGTTAAAATGACAAAATGAGAAGAACTTATATCCCCAACTCGAATGGCCTAGGCCCGGCAACCGGCCCCATCTTCCCATCTTCTAGGCTTCTCTGTAAACCAGGAGGTGGAATACGGTTAAGGGCGGGCCCCGAGGTCAGCGGGTTCTGACTGGGTTTAGTTTTTCCGCCTGCAAAATGGCTGGTGACCCCAATCGAACCTGGGACCCTTTAGTCCGCAGGCCAAAGCTCTGTCCACTAAGCCAAACTGGCTAGGGGAGAAAAACATGTTTAAAAAATATATTTTATTGATTTCGGAGGGAAGGAGAGACGCAGGAACATCAGTGGTGAGAGGGATTCATTAATCGCTGCCCCTGCACGCCCCCTACTGGACATGAACCTGCAACCCCAGCGTGTGCCCTGCCCGGGAATCCAACAGTGACCTCCTGGTTCCTAGGCGGACGGACGCTCACCCACCGAGCCACGCTGTTGGGGCTCAGAAAAAAAAAAATGTTTTTCAGAAAAAAAATTTTATACCAGTTATTGTGCTGGGTCCTGGGGATACTGAAATAAATGACACTGGGTTCCTGCTTTCAAGGAGATTTGCAGTTGAGTATGATGCGGAAAGGGCTCTTAGGCACCTCAGTGGAGCAGGAAAGCTGGAGTAGCAAACTTTATTGGGGAGAGGAGGAACTTTTTCCTTTTTTTTCCTTTTTAACATTTTAAAAAATATATATTTTATTGTTTTTTTACAGAGAGGAAGGGAGAGGGATAGAGAGTCAGAAACATCGATGAGAGAGAAACGTAGATCAGCTGCCTCCTGCACACTCCCCACTGGGGATGTGCCCGCAACCAAGGCACATGCCCTTGACCAGAATCGAACCTGGGACCCTTCAGTCCTCAGGCCGACGCTCTATACATTGAGCCAAACCGGTCAGGGCTTTTCTTTTTTTCTTAATCCTCTCCCGAGAACATGTTTTCATAGACTTTTAGAGAGAAACATCAGTCAGTTGCCTCCTGTATACACCCTGACGGAAGATCAAACCACAACCTAGGTATGTGCCCTGACTGGGAATCCAACTGGCAACCTTTTGGTGTATAGGACGACACTCCAACCGTCACCCAGCCAGGGCAAGAGGAACGTTTGTTCTTAATTTCTTATTTTTATTGATTTCAGAGAGGGAGAAGGATAGAGAGATAGGAACATCAATGATGAGAGAGAATCGTTGATTGGCTGCCTCCTGCACACCCCACACTGAGGATCGAACCTGCAACCAGGGCATGTGCCCTGACCGATAATCGAATCCTGACCTCCTGGTTCATAGGTTGATACTGAGCCACGCCAGCTGGGCTAGAGGAACATTTTTCAAGGAAGATGACATTTAATTGAGTCTTTAAGGATGAATAGTAGTTTCCAGGCAAATAAGAGCATTTGGGGTGAGAAGAACACTTTTCTGGTTTACGAGAGGCTAGAAGACCCCGTGTTTCAGGGCCTCCCCTATTTCTGCAGTCTCATTTCTAATTCTACAAGCTCCTTCCTGTTTCACTGTGGAGTTTTTCTCTGCCTGGACTACTCTTCTTGTATCTCTTCTAATTCCTGTTTCAACCCTCAGATCCCTGCTTAAAGTCACTTTCTCAAAAAGATTATCCCTGATTAATTGTCGCTACTTTTCTTCATCACCTCCACCCTAACTAGACTAAATTTCTTTGTAAGCCCTCATAGCAGCCTGTGCTTTTCTTTTATAGTACATAGCTGTATAGTCATGTGTTGATTAATCATATTGATATATTCCAAGAGTTGCATCCATTGGCAATTTCATCATTGTGCAAACATCATAGAGTGTACTTAACACAAACCTAGGGGTATACCAGTAGCCTACCGCACACCTAGGCTACATGCTATATAGCCTCTTGCTTCTAGGCTGCAAGCCTATATTGCATGTTACTATGCAACACAACACAAGATTAAATCAAGCACAAGAGAAAATGATGTCATCAAGCGGTAAACAGATGTATGAGGCTGCTGCTGTGTACACAGCTGTTTTATAGCAAATCTTATTTTAAATAAGTAGAAATAGTATACTCTAAGTCAGGGGTCCTCAAACTATGGCCCGCGGGCCACATGCAAATACAAATATTGTATTTGTTCCCGTTTTGTTTTTTTACTTCAAAATAAGATATGTGCAGTGTGCATAGGAATTTGTTCATAGTTTTTTTTTGAACTATAGTCTGGCCCTCCAACAGTCTGAGGGACAGTGAATTGGCCCCCTGTTTAAAAAGTTTGAGGACCCGCCCTGGCCGGTTTGGCTCAGTGGATAGAGCGTCGGCCTTCGGACTCAGGGGTTCCGGGTTCGATTCTGGTCGGGGCATGTGCCTTGGTTGCGGGCGCATCCCCAGTTGGGGGTGTGCGGGAGGCAGCTGATTGGTGTTTCTCTCTCATTGATATTTCTGACTCTCTGTCCCTCTCCTTTCCTCTCTGTGAAAAATCAATAAAATATATTTAAGGAAAAAAAAAAGAAGTTTGAGGACCCCTGCTCTAAGTAATGATAAAAATTATAGTATAGCCGAAACCGGTTTGGCTCAGTGGACAGAGCGTCGGCTTGCGGACTGAAAGGTCCCAGGTTCGATTCCGGTCAAGGGCATGTACCTGGGTTGCGGGCACATCCCCAGTAGGAGGTGTGCAGGAGGCAGCTGATCGATGTTTCTCTCTCATCGATGTTTCTAACTATCTATCTCTCTCCCTTCCTCTCTAAAAAATCAATAAAATATAAAAAAAATTATAGTATAATAAATACATAAACCAATAACATAGCTGCTTATTACCATTATCAACTATTATATACCGTACATAATTGTGTGCACTCGACTTTTCTATAACTGGCAGCATAGTAGGTTGGTTTATACTAACATCACTACAGATGTGTGAGTAATGTGTTACGCTATGACATTACAACAGCTTTTGTTACCAGGTAATAGGAATTTTTCAGCTCCATTATAATCTTATGGGACCACTGTGGTATATGTGGTCTGTCATCTGAAACATCCTTGTGCAGGGCATGACTGTAGTTAAATAATTACATTAAGACTATTCATTACTATACTATAAACTTCTGAGGTCAGGCATCATGTCTGGTTCATAATTTTAACCCCAGCACCTAGCACAGTCCCTAATGTGTAGTGTTGGATTATTAAATTATTGGAGAGGTATAGTTTGGGGGTAGAAGATGAAGGATCTTGACTGTCAGAGAACTGTGGGTTTGTCCTTCAGCAAGAAAGATGTTTTATAGAATTGTACATTAGAAACTTATATACTTTTATTAACCAGTCACCCCAATAAAGTTAATAAAATAAAAGAGGGAAGTGGTCTGGCCCTGACCAGGTGCCTCAGTTAGCTGGAGCATTATCTTGTACACCAAAAGGTTTCAGGTTTGATTCCAAGTCAGGGCACATACTACTTAGGTTTCGGATTCGATTCCCGGTTGGGGTGCATATGGGAGGCAACCAATTGATGTTTCTCACATTGATATTTCTCTCTAAAAATCAATAAAAACGTGTCCTCTGGTAAGGATTTAAAAAAGAGGGAAGTGGTCTGGCTAAAAAGGCAACTGGGTAAACAAGTCTTGAAAGCAAGAATGTATTGACCAGATAGGGGGGTTGAAATTTTCTCAACACCTGGATTTAGA